TCCTTCATGTTCTTTGTTAAATTTTGGTCAGAGGCCAGCCTGGGTAGTTTTCGGGGATATACTCTCAATATCTAATGAGTATTTAGTCTGTGTGACTGCATGCAACTTTGAACAATTGCCTGCACTTTCTCCTCCTCCGAGGTTTGATTTCTTGAGCATGATTAGCCGGCAGTTGCAGAAGGTGATCATATCAGGGTTTGGGAGTATACTGCTGAAAAAGTTTTGTGGAAAATCTAATACTAATTTGAGCCATCTTGTTTCAAGTATCAGAGAATCATGTGCAGATGAACGGATTTGTGTCGAAGTTAATGTTGATAAGAATGTGATAACTCTGTATGCTACTTCACAAGATATGGATAGAGTGCGTGGCTTAGTGAATGAGGGATTGGAGTGCGAAAAGAAGTTCCTGCAAAATGAATGCTTGGAGAAGTGTCTATATAATGGAGGACCCAAGGTTTTACCTTCAATTGCCCTCTTTGGAGCAGGTGCTGAAATAAAACACCTTGAAATCGAGAAGAGATATTTGACAGTTGACATATTTCATTCAAAGTTTAATGCACTTGATGATAGGGAACTCCTAGTTTTCTTGGAGAGATGTACCTCAGGTCATGTATGTGCCGTTAGCAAGTTCTTTGGATCGGGTCTAGACAATGAAGACAAGGATAAGTGGGGAAGGGTGACATTTCTCACACCTGAGGCTGCCAAGACGGCTGTTGAACTAAATAATATTATGTTCAGTGGTGGACTATTGAAAGTACTTCCTTCGAGAAATGTTGGCGTTGGTGAGTACAAAACGATGTCTTTTCCCTCAGTCAGAGCCAACATCTTTTGGCCTCGTAGGTGCAGCAAAGGGGTTGGTATCATCAAGTGTGATCGGAAGGATGTTGCTTCTATTGTTGATGATTTATCTAATTTAATAATTGGAGGCAGGCTTGTTTGGTGTGAAGCAAGTGTCAAGTCTGAGGACAGTGTTGTAGTTACTGGACTTGATAAGAATCTTTCGGAGCCCGAAATATACCAGTTGCTAAGTGCGGCAACAAATAGACGAATACTGGACTTCTTTCTTGTCAGAGGAAATGCAATAGAGGATCCTCCATTAGTGACTTTTGAACAAGCAATTCTTCGAGAAATTTTTCCCTTCATGCCTAGAAGGAACACACAGGGTAATGTTGTTGGTGTTCAGGTTTTCCAACCAAAACCAAGGGACATCTTCATGAAAGCCTCAATTACTTTTGATGGAAGTTTACATTTGGAGGCAGCTAAGGCACTGGAGCAAATTGATGGGAAAGCATTACCTGGATGTCACATGTGGCAGAAAGTACGATGTGAACAGTTGTTTCATAGTTCTGTATGCTGTCCTGCACCTGTGTACACTGTTATAAAGGCCGAGCTAGATGCTTTGTTGTCAAGGCTCCGGCGACGAAATGGTACTTTCCTAACCTGTTTGAAGTTTATTTATATTTGTTTCTTGGTCAAGTTGAACTCATATGGATCTGTTGATTGCTTAAACATCATCACAGAAATGGCCTCTGTATATGATGTTGTATCATCATTCTTCATTTAAATTGGATTACTTGGCATGAAGAGTTACTCAGAATGGATAATTTTTAAATCATACAATCATACAGACATTGAGAACTTCCCTCAGACTATTTTAATAGATGCATATCTCAAATTACATTATCTTGTCTTTTTGAGGTAGAATTTGGTAAATAGCATAATTAAACTTGTTTTCAGTTCCCACTCATAAGTGCAAACATATTCAACATGCTTGTATGTCCCTTGAAATTTTCTTGTGATGGAAATGGAATGCAGATGTCTGGTGGAATTTTTCTTGTGTTCAAATGGGAGCTTTCCATGTTGAATTCTGATTCATGTTGTGATGCCTATTTTTCTTTTGATTGATAGGACATATTCCATATGTGCATGCCCTGTTTCAGTTTGTCATTTGTCATGGTTACTTTTAATTTTGAAGTTAAGCGATTCCGTTTTCACCCATTGTTTGTGATGCTCTAGTTAGTCGTATAGGTAGAGTTTTTGTTTAGAGTGATCTGTCCTCTTTAGTTAGGCTGGCATTATAAATAAAACAATTTGATGACAACCCTTATTAGCTCCTGCCTGAATAAATACCATGGTTCAGACCATTGCTAACGGCGACCTATAAAGCAAAACTGCCTTTTTTAGTCCAAGTTTCTCCGTTCATGTGCATGTACAGTAGTGCACGTTTTACCTACACTTTGTGCTGATCTAGTCATACACCTCTTTATGCAGGTGTAGACTGTATTCTCGAGCGAAACCCAAACGGATCCTACCGTGTGAAGATCTCAGCCACCGCCACAAAAACTGTGGCCGAGCTGCGAAGACCTCTGGAGCAACTCATGAAAGGAAAACTCTTGCAACATCCCGATATTACCCCCGCAGTCCTCCAGGTCCTCTTCTCGTGGGACGGCATCACCCAGATGAAAAACATCCAGCAAGAAACACGAACCCACATAATCTTCGACAAGCACCGCATGCTCTTGCGAGTGTTCGGCCCTCCCGCAAGAGTCGAACATGCACAATCCCGTCTCGTCCGCGCCCTCCTCTCTCTTCACGAAAGCAAGCAGCTCGAGATTCGTCTGCGAGACGAGTCCTTCCCCCCCGACATGATGAAACGAGTCGTGCAGCGTTTCGGGCCCGACCTTCGCGGGCTCGGAGACAAGTTCCCCAACGCCCACTTCTCCCTCGAGACGAGACGCCACTCGATCTTCCTCACGGGAAATAAAGATCTGAAGCAGAAAGTCGAGGAGCTCGTCCGCGACCTCGCGCGCGCGGAGTCCGGGCTTCGCACGGGCCCGGAAAAAAATGCCGACGAGCCGCCCAGCTGTCCCGTCTGCCTCTGCGAGCCGGACGACCCCCACGCGCTCGAGGGCTGCGGCCACAGGTTCTGCCGTACGTGTTTAGTCGAGCAGTGCGAGTCGGCCATCAAGAGTCACGACGGCTTCCCGCTAAAATGCGCCAGGGAGGGGTGTGGGGCCCACATACTGATAGCCGACCTGAAGACGCTGCTGAAGGCGGAGAAGCTGGACGAGCTCTTCCATTCCTCGCTGGCTGCCTACATGGCGGCCAGCGGGGGAGTGTACAGGTTCTGCCCCTCGCCCGACTGCCCGTCGGTTTACAGGGTGGCGGGCCCTGGGGAGCCCGGGGAGCCGTTCACGTGCGGGGTTTGTTTGGTGGAGACGTGCACGGGGTGCCACCTGGAGTATCATCCGTACTTGTCGTGTGAGAAGTATAAGGAGTTTAAGGATGACCCGGACTCATCGCTCAAGGAGTGGTGCGTAGGGAAAGAGCACGTGAAGAAGTGTCCGAGGTGTGGTTTTACGATCGAGAAGGTGGATGGGTGTAACCATATAGAGTGCAGGTGTGGGAGTCATGTGTGCTGGGTGTGCTTGGAAGTGTTTGGGGCCAGCGAGGACTGCTACAGCCACTTGAGGTCCGTACACGGGGCAATTATTTGAGTTGTGCGATCTTTCTTTTGGTGTTTTTCTGATTTTTAACTTATTGTAGTAGGTGTGCCACTTGCTGGTAGATGTGTGTGTATATATGGAGATTATGTTTCGACCTAGTTAACGATTATGTGCTCGGTGGAGTCGGTTTGAACCTCTGTTGGTTGTGTGGCCTTTGTGTATATATGTGTTTAGAGAAATTGATATGTCTATGCTGCGGTGCACTTTTTCTGTATACAAACACCCACACACACTCCAGAAATAGAATGAGGTGCACCATACACATAGCCGGTTTCTCTATGATTCACCTCAATAGTGATTTGCAATCAAGAAAAATCGAGATTCATGTAGCAGTAGATTCGTTCAGGCTCCATAACCTCGATGAAAACAAGAGCCAGAAGAAATTTATCATTTCGAGAAACCAATATACTGAATATTCCCATCAGTTCTGTGATAGATTATGCACCAATCTCATCCTTTTATCGTCTTTGCTGAAACATAGTTTTATCATTTCGCATTGCCATCTTCAGTTGTAGCAAGAAACTTTCTATTTCTCTAAACATTGCATGTTTATGTAAAAGCAAAAAACGAAAATCAGAAAAGATATATGCAGCCAATGTCCCTGCCATTGCAAAGACAAAATGCTATAGCTGCTGCACCCCAACTTCTTGTGCACGAATTTTTCTGTTTTCTTCTTTGGGTACAAAATTCATAACTCTAGCAGATTAACCAGCTGGCGGCATCCAAAGAGCTGCAACGACTCATCCACAAGCAGGTTAAAGAGAAGTTCCTTGTCCTTGGATATCATCTTTAACTCTAGCAGTTTGGATTAATATAAGGGATTTGATCATACCAAAAAAACCAAAATGACAAGGCTGTAAATGACCCCTTANAGTCAATAGAAAGCAAATACTAATAACAAATTGCTGACTTACTAAATGTCTTAACAAATCGCCAATATATTTGGGTGGGTGGTCATAACAGCCAATACAATCCTCTTGTTTTGGCCAAGCAAACCACGTTCATGCTTCCCTTGTTGTGTACATTATTCATTCGTATGTGAACATGGAAAGATAGACATCAAATTGGAAATTTATTTTCCAGTTTGAAAGCTTAATCGAGTAGTACCATTGAATATTGATTCAATTGTCCCACCTACAGTGACGTGCGCACGTAAACGCGTCAGTATTGACTGAGTCTGACTCACACACCCAAAACAAGAAACTGAAACCACGTAGAAACTTCACAGGTCCCCTGCTCTGAAAATGAAATTACAATCAACACATTACCACCAAAATGAAGAAAATTCACTCACAAACACAAACACCCACACACACACACAGAGAAACTAAATCAAAGAGATATCACAATCACAATCACAATCTCTCCACACAATTTCCACAAATTTTCCATACCCAAACAGCCCTTAATTAATAGTCCTTGAGAAATGAGAACTACCCATCGCCATTAATAGTCCCTCTGTTTTTTCCTCTCCCAAAAGAACAGAACACAAGAATGGCTCTCAATCACAGAAGTCTTCTGCTTGGAGATCTAAAGGGCCCCGACAAAAAAGACGATAAGGCGCCCAAATTACCCTGTCCTGGCTGCAACCTAAACCTCTCAACGCATCTCCCAATACCCAAAAGCAAGCACATCTCGTCTACCTTAATCCTCACCATCTGCTTTCTTTTTCTCTTTTTCTTTCTCTCCCTCGTCTATTTCGCCATCCGCAGGCGCCGATCGAGGCGGAGGAGGAGGAGGAGCTCGGCCGCTCCCCCGCCGGCCGGCGGGGACGACCTCCTGATCGACGAGCTCGAACGTGAGCCCGGCCCGGTCGACCATCACGTGTGGCATATACGAACCGTGGGCCTGCCTGACTCGGTCATAGACTCGATTGCCGTGTTTAAGTACAAAAGGGGGGAGAATCTGACCGCGGGCAGCGATTGTCCCGTGTGCCTGAGCGAGTTTGAGGAGGACGAGACGCTGAGGCTGCTGCCCAAGTGTAGCCACGCCTTCCACTTGCCGTGCATCGACTCGTGGCTCAGGGCCCACACCAACTGCCCTGTTTGCCGGGCTCCGATAGTGAAGATGGGCGGCGGGCTTGTTGGTGGTGATGGGCTTGGTGAGGTGGGCCCAACGGTGGAGGAGGATCGGGCTAGGGAGGGCGAATCTGGGGATGAGGGTGAACGTTGTTTTGGTGGGCCGAGTGTTGGGGATGATAAACCGGCCCAAATTGCGGCGACTAGATTTAAGGAGTGTAGTGGCTCGAGTAGAGGTGGTAAGTTTGTTCGGGTGGTGAGTGATTTGGGTGGACGTGATCGGGCGAATGTGGATCTTGGATATGTGCGTAAGCCGATGATAAAAAGATCGGTCTCGGTAGATTTATCGCCGGTTTGATCTTCTTTTTTTTTTTGTGTGTGTGTGTGTCCGGTNGTAAAGTTGATCGTACTATGTATTTCCATTAAGAATTTTTTGTGCAGAAGTTGTATCTTTTTCTTGGTGGATAAAATTTATTAGCAATAAAACTATTTGATATCCATATTCAAGTTACGAATTACCAACTGTTTGAAAATTTTGATTAGTATGATCATTGAAGCATTGTTTATGGCTGCCTAATTTTGTTTTACTAATTATTTGTAGCTAAAATGCATAGAAATGTAATTTTTGAAAAAAATGGATGAAATTGAGATGAAAGAAAAAAATGTGGTGTTTATTGGGAAGATATAACACTTAAAAATTTCCCAAATTGCACTATAGCAAAAACCATCGCCCAAAAATTCTCAGCCACAATTTTCGATCTTCGCCTGGCCTCCTCTTCAGTCGGGAGTGACAATCCTCTGGTGGACTGACAAGCACTAGGGCAACTTCACCTTCTTCGTCATGTCAAGGTAGTTTTTCAGCATGTTTGTTTGGCTGTCCTGGGACATTTTTGATGATTCAAAGGCGAGTGGGATTGCCGGCGGCGCCCGTTGCTGGTGGTGGGCAGGGCTTTGGCCGGCGGAAGTTATGCTAGTTGGGGCTCTTAGAACTGTGGTGGCGTGGTGTGTTGGGGGCAAGGGGAAGGACCGAGCCTCTATGTATTTCTCTCTAGTAGGTTCCTTTGGAGAGTGGGTTCAGGCTCGGGTGTCGGTGGATGTCGTTAGCCAGCTCCTTTTTGAAGAAGAGAGTTTCGGCATCTATTTCTCCGGTTGTGGTCTGCTTTCTTAGGTTCATTGTCGGTTGTCGGTCTTGGATTGCTAGGTTGGAGCTTCTGGTCGACTGCGAGGAGGGCTTTATTGTTACTATTTTGTGTCTTTTATTTAGCTTCTGTTTTGTTTAGTGCCTGCGTGTTTTGAGGGTTTTTTTATTTTTCTTTTTTTAGAAGCGTGTATTCTTCCATTTGGGAGTATGTATTCTCCACTGGTAGAATTTTTATTTTTTTTTCTTTGTTTTGTGTTGTTCTGTGGTATTTAAGTTAACTTGGGTAGGCTTTTAATCTGAATTCAGCTTTTAGCTGGTTTATTAGACTATTTAACCGCTTGTAAATATGTGTTATTGATGAATTCTATAGTTCCGACAAAAAAAATATGTAATGAATAGTTGGATACGGGAAGAGTGAGTCCAACAAATTCACAGTAACAAAGAAGTACTTATCTGACCTATTTCATGAACTACAACAAGAAGATTTCTGTCAAAATACAATATTCCAAGCTACCTCATTTGCCAAGAAATGAAGGGGAAAAATACAATATATAATAACATTACATATTTACACAAGCTTCATTGAGTGGAAATAGACTCTCCTTATAAACAAGCACCTCCAATCTACTTCGTTTACCATAAACTTCAAGGTTTTTGATGTCTTCATCGACACGATTATATACGACCAGTTCTCCGACGTTACTCTCGAAAATGATATCATCGTTGTTCCAAAATCCTAATGGCCTCTCAACTCTCGAAAGAGGGCCAATACTTGCTATCTTACTCCAAGATTCACCATTCCCTCCGAGTTCATTCATAACCCACACGTCAAAAACTTTGTCGAGTGCTTGGGGACAATACACGACCATCGCAAGCGATTCCTTCAATGGCATAATTGCTCGAGTACTTTTATGTTGTCCTCCTAAAACATCATCGATTTTAGATGGCAAAGGCGTCGTTTGGAATGTCTCCTTGCCCATATCGAACGAAAGAATCACCTCAACGTTTTTATCTTGAGCCCACCAACAAAATGTTCCGTTCTTGTACACCATGCTCCAAAGATTATGGTACATAATATTTGCCGGTACATTACCTTTGTATTTCTTCCAAGAGTTTGTTCGTAACGAATATATCTCAACATGGTAAATAAGACCATCTTCTTGGGAAACACAGAATAAGATTTGCAGTACTTTCAAATCGCGAGTCTTTGAATCAAAACCGACTCCAACATCACCTCCTCGTACTTTAGCATTATGAGGGCGCGACGCTAAGGATAAAGGTAGTTTCTTGAAATCCCGAATGCTCGGATTCCACAAAGCAATGTTGTCTGGAAATCCGTAAAGACAAACGATACCATTACAAGGGCCGATCAACCTAACATGACCGAACATTTCGTTCAAAAATGTTGGTAGGTATTGATCGACAAAAGTGTAGTGATGACCATCTCTTTTCAATAACGAGATGACTCTTTTATTCGTAATGACGTCACGCCTGCTCACAAATACATTTTGATCAGTATTTTGTTTGGAAGAGAAAGTTTGATAATGCTTTGAAATGAACATTGGATGGTTGATGATAGCATTCCATAACTTGCAAACACTTTTGAATCTGATCAATGATTGTACAGGCAATCTAGACAAGATTTCTACAAATTCATCTTGTGATAGCCACATTGCTCCACCGACTTTTCGTACGCATTTGCTTTCCTATTTTTTCTTTTTCTTTTCTTTTTGCCAAATCATGTTTATGTAAGTTTTTGCTTTTGGGAAGGACAAGAATTAGAATGAAAAGCTAACAAATCTACCACTCAAGTTATTATCCTTCATACTTTTTGGCATCCTACTAATTTGGGTGGTTCTAAGCATGCACATTTCAAGGAGAAGTACGACTTACATTCACTAAATTTGAGATGCAAGAAGGAACAATTTTTTAAGATTAATAATAAATCATAGCACTTTATTTTATATATAGAGAGAGAAATATAGTTGCTTCCAATAATGTTTTTTTTTTCAAAAAAAAAATTGTAACTAAAATCTTATCAATGACTTTTTTTTAACATAATAGTTAATTAAAGTGTAATTATGTTTTTTTATTATTCTATCATATAATAGTTATTACTAAAACTAATAAGTTATAATTCACACTAACTGATACATGAAAGTTCAATAAGTATAAAAAATTATACTGCAAAATTTTTTCTTAAACTATTTATTGAGATACGAAGATGTATTGAGATTTAAAGATGTTTTGGTGGAAAGGAATGAAAACCGATATTGGAAAATTTGTTGAGTTGCATAACTTGTCAGCAAGTCAAAGTCGAACACCAAAGGTATTTTCTTAAAAATGAAAATTGATTTTATTAAACATGAAATTATACAATAAATTAAGGCATTTTCAAAGCCTACAGGACAGATGATTAGGCAACCGAATCAATTCATAACGTAGACATTAAGATATGTATAGCATAGACGTGTATTCATACGATCCCACATACACCAGGTAGGCGTATGGAATATGTGGCCAAAAACACTAGCATTGACCAAGAATTGGTTTATATTTGCATAAGGTATGAGAATTTAGCTTATTT